CCCCCCGTGCCATCGCTGAATACTCGCCCGCCCCCCCCCCCCCATTTCTATGCCAGCTTCCTTTTCCTCTCCTCATCCTCCGACCACCAACACCATTGGTTTGATTCTGTGAGGACGGGTGGGCAAGAGACCCCCCTCGTGTCCTAAGATAAGATGAAACCGAGTGATAGAAAATGGGCTGTCTTGAGAATCACAGAAAACGGGAGAGGAAACTAAAATGTCTGTAAGACCTGGGCCCACAGCTAAAGGAGGACAGAAGACTGGCCCAATGAGAAAAGGGAAAGGAGAGATCATGTGTCGATGCAAGTAGGAGCCACAGTTAACCTTTTGAGAAGATTACGCTGAAAAGCCAAATGGGTGGGTTGAAATCCTCTCCAGGAAGCTAAGCCTATGCTGAGCTATTTCTCCTCACGCCCTACTGTAACAGCAGAGTTTGGGCTAAGGCCAATCCTAGCTCCTTAGAGAGTGGGCCAAGATAAGCCAACGGACGCTTGTGTGACGTGGCAGTCTGCACCCCATTTCACACCGATGTATGCTCCATCACTCCTCTCCAGTGTTCTGCTCGACCTAACCCTGATTTCTAATTCCACTGGGATTAGAAGGGTGGCTCCTACACCACCCTCAGCACCCTTACCCTGGACGGGGAATGAGGATCGGCAGAAATGAGGGCAGAAAGCATACGGGGGTGAGGACAAGCTCAGAGGGCAAGATTAGCACCATTGAATAAAACCTGCAAATTCATGGCTGCCAAGCAGTGCTTTACACCCCTTCTGTGTGCTCATGTGGCTCCCCAGTTCCGGCCTGAAACTGGCAGGAACAGAGACAGGGCAGGCCGGAATGGTGAGATGGACGTTGCGCTTTTGAGAGGAAGGTACAGCACAGTGTGGAACCTTCCTCTGTAGCTATCATGGCCTCATCCTCCAGCCTGCCGACTTTAAATTAGCAAGGGCGGACACGTCCATGTGTAAGGAGAGCAGGCTGGGGACAGCATACAACCAATAATAATAACAATAATAATAATAATAATAACATAAGGATAATAACAAGAGAAAAAGGAAAAACAGGAAGAGAGGAGAATGAGGCGGGAGAGGGGGGTTATCTTCGGCAGCATCTTGCGGTGGCTTCTCTGACAGAGAAAGAACAAAGACAGGATATATATCTATATACAGGCAGTGGACAGGGCTGGGCTGGGGTTGCTGTCCCCACTGCCGGGCTTCACCACCCGGCCCTGGGCTGATGTCCACCTCCTCCAGGATGCACTAAGTGATCAAGTCCCAGTCGAAGTCGTCAGGGATCTCCTCGTTGGCACCAGGAGGTGGGACGGGTGGCCGAGGGACCATATGGTGTGCTGTCAAGAAGAAAATAAAAGAGAGTCAAAGGGGTAGAAGGGAAGCTAGTTCCTCAGTGTAGACGGACAGAGCTCAGCCCCAAATGCTACCATGGAAAGGGCCTTGTGACGCTACCGTCCTTATCTGCCCAGAGTTTTTGCTGTCACAGGCCAGCACTTCGGTGAGGTCTCCGGAAGTAAAGCAGAGTCAACTGGGTACATGCACTAAAACATTCTGCCGCCAGGGCCAGTACGTGGTATGGTGGTTAAGGCACTGGACTTCCATGTGGCCGACAGCAATTCGAGTTCTGAACCCGGCTGCTTAAAACTCATGCCAGGCGCATGTGCGTACATGGCCAAAATCCTGAGAAGAGATTGAAGGAGAATGGACTGTGGTGTAGCCATTCCCCGCTGGGAGGGATGATTTCTCACTTTCTGTCTCTCTCTCTCTCTCTGTCTCTTCAGCAAGCACAATCTCTCAAAAAGAAAAAAAATTGGGGTCATTGAGAAAGTCAGGATGCATTTTTGCATAGAAAAATACATCCTGACTTTCCCAATGACCCAATATAGTCTGCTACTAGTAAAAATAGTACCTGTGAAGACTATATAAAGCGATAAACGGGCTGGCAGGTGGCATGGTGGTTAAGGCACTGGACTCCCACATGGCCAACCATGGTTCGAGTCCTGGACCTGATGTCCTGCTTTCTCACTTTCCCTTTCCCTCTCTCTCTGGTCAAATCAGAAACAAAAATAACAATAAATTAAATAAATAATTATTTTATAAAAAGTGATAAAACAACATCTAGAGCATAATAACATATGAAAGTACAGTACAGACATTTGTATTTCTATTACGTGGCAAAGAATATATGAACAGAGTCCAACAGCACTGAAAACACTTGTGGTTAAGAAGAGTAACCATAGTGAGGGGCCAGCAGGGGGCATTGAAGCTAAGGCACCGGACTCCCACAAGGTTGACTATGGTTCGAGTCCTGGACCTGGTGGCTTGCTTTCTCAGTTTTCCCTTTCTCTCTCTCTATTTCTCTCTGGTCAAAGTAAAAAATAATAACAACAGATAGAATAAATAATTCTTAAATAAATAAATAAATAAATAAAATAACCATAGTGATTTTTCTAACATGTATTCAAGCATGAAACGTTTGTTTATTTTGTAGGGTCGGTGGCAATTTAGTGTCCCCGCCTTCCCTGCCTCTGCCATCAGAGACAGTTCGGTTCCAGACCCCGGGGACTAGCGGTCAGGGCACAGGGAAGCAGGCACGGCACAGAGCAGGACGTTTGTAGCCAATTCCTTTTATTTGCCTGATCATGTCTTCCATCGAGACTCCAAAGCCAGATACAAGCCTGCAGAGCCGTCTCTCACCTACGCTGTCACTGCCTTTCATTACCGCAGTTAAAAGTCAACTTTAAGGCAAACCTGACATACACCTCCCTAGTGGGCAGCCTATCCTCCACCTTGGGACTTGTGAAGGCTCACCCTCTTCTAGCAGGTGCAGGTTCGAAGGTCAGGAATGCAGACTCCGAGTCAAGAAAGGGGAACAGCTACTCAGGGCAGAGTGGTCGGCAGGTCGTGAAAGAAGCTCCCTCTCTCTTACCTTGGCGATTGTATCCTGCAGAGTCCTGGGCAGGGATTGGGTACATCGGTGACGGGCCAGGGTAGAGGTGAGGGGCTTGCGGGTGCCCGTAAGAGTTCACTGCCAAAGCAAGACAAGAGTTCTTGAGTGGGGGACCATCGCATGTAACAAAGAAGGAAGGAAAAAATGTATCCCTCTTCCCACTGACCTCTTTCTCCCTCCCCTGCACTGTTCTGTAGCTCCTACAGGTAAAAAGGCTTCCTGCAGGGGCTGGCAGGTGGTGTGGTGGTTAAGGGCACTGGACTCCCACATGGCTGACTGCGGTTCGAGTTCTGGACCTGGTGGCTTCCTTTCTCACTTTCCCTCTCTCTCTCTCTCTCTCACTCTGTCCCTCTCTGGTCAAATGAAAATAAATAAATAAAGTTAAATAAAATAATTATTTAAAAAAAAAAAAAAAGGCTTTCTTCATATGCTTTAGTCCTCAGAAAAAGGAATGGACACTAGAATTATACAATACCTAAGGCACAATGATGGGCCAGCAGGTGACCTGGTGGTTACGGTGGCTGGATCCCACACGGCTGACTGCACAATTTTGAGTCCCAGACTTGGCAGATTGAGAAACACTGAACACCTTTGTGTGCCCAGAATCCCGAGAGCAGAATGGAGGAGAAGGGGCTATGGCATGGCCATCCCCCTGAAAGGTACTCTCTCACTCCCCCACCTCTCTGCCAATCTTCCACACTGAGGACTAAGAAGGAATCATGCTCTATTTCGTTTATGTTTGTCAACGTGGGACTTTACTGATCCAACAGACGTCCAGTCAGCATGGCCAGCCAGCTAGCTCCACCGCCCATGAAAGGATGCCTCTGATCCCCTTCCCCCTTCTCCTGCCCTTCCTTCTCATCACAGCCTCCACCTTCTCTGTAACTCCCTCCATGCAGTACCTTGGTTCATGGTTGGCTCCTGTTTGCCACTGGTGAGGGCGCAGGGGTCAGCGACACGGGCAGGGGCTGGTGGCCGGTGGGAGCCCCCCTGGGGGGGCACGTGACCAGTCTGAGTAAGGAAGTGGTTGAGGGAGTCACACAGATTGGCGATGTGATGCTGGTCGAGGGTCCAGTTCTTCTGCTCTGCCTGCCGTAGACTCTCCATCAGTTCTACAACAGGGAGGAAGACGACACTCACCTTGCTGTGGCAGCACGCCCTGTGGGACCCCCCCACCCCCGCCTCACCTCCCGACCGCACCGTAGACCAAAGCCTAGATGATACGCACAAGCGGTTATCACCCACATCACACAGAGGTCCACGCTTTCAGACACTCGTCCTGTGTGTTCCTTACCCAATTCTCACTGTACATTCTATCTTACGCATGGATAAAAACTTTCAAAGTGACCGAGTGAACAGCCATGGTCACACTGTCAGGAAATGGACACAAAACTATCAAATGGGGCCAGCCCCGTGGCCAATTGGTTAAGGGAGCCTGATCCCATATGGCCGCCTACGTTGTTCAAATCCCAGCCTCGTGGCTTGAGAAATGCACTGGGCACATGTGCATATGTGCTCAAAATCCCAACAGGGAGGAGAAATGGAGGAGAAGGAATTACTTTTCCCTCTCCCTGTCTCTCTCTGGCAAGAGCACATACCTCCTAGCAAATTAAAAAAAAAAAGAAGAAGAAGAAGAAGAACTAGCATAAAGTGGTTCAGGGTTTCTGCATTCCCAATAGTCTTCCCTCTCCCAAAGACAGAACTACTAGGATAACACCCTGTCCTATTTTGACTTAAGGCAAAATGAATGTGATAACAATATCAAGATCACCCACCTTGTGTAATATGGAGGAGAAATAACTGAATCCTCAACCCCAGACTTCGCACCCCTCAGACAGCACCCTCTGCTAACTAACCTGAGAACTGCGACTGCTCAATGCTGGACCAGTTGAGTCGATTCACCATCTTGAAGCTTTCCTTTAAGGAATCGATATTGGAGCACCAGTCGGGAGGAAAGGCTGTGAAGGGGAGGGAGAGGTGGGGAATAAGACAGAGGAAATACAAGACAGCACTTAGCTGAGACCAGACCTCCTGCAGGGGAGATTCATTATTTTTAGGGAGTTGTTTTTGGTTTTGGTTTTGTTTTCTGCTATACGGTGTGTGTGCTCCTCAGAGAAGCAGAGAAAGCAAGAAATCACCCGTTGGCGGGATGGCCACGCCAAAATCCCTTCTCCTCTATTCTCTTGGGATTTTTGGGCTCGCACGCATACGTGCCTGGCTTAAAGCTCACACCAGGTCCAGGACATACCAGGTCCGGGACTTGAACCGTGGTTGACTACATGGGAGTCCAGCGACGTAGCCATTACATCATCTGCTGGGCCCCAGGCGAGACTCCTACATCTACAAGAGTTATCGGCTGCATTACCACGGCAGCTGAGGAGCTCGGAGATTTAGGACTGACAAAGCTGCCTATGCAATCGATACAGCTCACCAAGTTGGTAGAATTTACAAAACAATCCCAACTCACCCGAGGACTCTACAGGAGAGAGCTCTAAGTAGCAACTTCCAAGCACGCAGATGAGCTCTCGTGGGGGGAGGCCAACAGGCCCACTATTCACTTCCGAACCCACTGCCCCTCCATGTCCGCATTAGAGCGAGGGGTCGCTGCGCCCTCATCCAGGATCTCTGCCCCCTTTACTCACCGAAGCCAGGACTGTTGATGGGAGCCTGGCCTTGTGCCTGCTGCTGTGGCGGCGGCTGTGCAGGGTGGGAGTGGGGATGGTGCTGATGCGGGTGGAAGCCTCCGTGCTGCAGTGGGGGTGGGTGCATGGCCATCACAGAGGGCGGCCCATAGCCTTCTGCCCCTGCTGGCTTTCCTCCTGGTGGGGTGCAACCATCTGGACTCGGGGTGTGCAGTGGGGGAGCTCCCCCTAGAGTGGAGGGGCCCTGTGCTGGTGCCTGCTGCTGCTGGGGCTGTGGCTGCTGGGAAGGCGGCGGCTGCGGCTGCTGAGGCGGCGGCTGGTACATGTAGTAGCTGTTGGAAGGCGGCATGTCCCCCAGGAGAGACGAAAAGCCTGCGGGGTGGGGGGGAAGCAAGCAAGGCACTCAGGCAACGCGTTTTTCAGGGAACTGGATTTTCACTGGATTGAGTTGGGAGACCTCAGATAGAAACCGGAGAGTTAGGGCCAGCTGGTGGCATGGTGGGTTGAGGCAACTGGATCCCACATGGCCAACTGCAAGGTTCAAGCCCTGGACCCGATGATTTAAAAAGCATACAGAGTACAGGGCGTGGTGGCGCCCACCCCATGGCAAAAACATACTGAGTATGTGTGCGTGTGCCCCTAAATTGCAAGAGGAGAATGTAGGAGAAGGGACTACAGCAGGGCTATCCCCCAGGAGGGGTGCTTTCCCTCTGTGCATGTGTGTCTCGTGTGAGCGCATGTACCTACAGCAAATTAAAAAAAAGAAAGAAACTGCAGAATTAAAAGGACAAGGCTGCTCACAACTAGTGGCCTGGTGGTTAAGGTGGCTGGATCCCACATAGCTGACTGTGTAGTTCAAGTCCCAGTCCCCGTGGCTTGAAAGACATGCAAGGCATGTGTGCATGCCCAAACTCCTGAGGGAAGGGAGAAGTGATTGTACTGTGATCGTTCCCCACAATGGGTGTGCTCTTACCATTTCTCTCCTCTCTCTCTCTCTCTCTCTTTCTCTCTCTCTCTCTGTCTCTCTCTCTGGCAAATATATACACCCTATAGTAAATTTTAAAAATAAAAATTAAAAAAAAAAAAGGACAAGGGTGCTTTGGGAAAACAGGAGTGGTGGCCCTCCTGGTGACTATAACAGCAGGAAGGCCCTTAGGCTAGGGGAGTGGGGGAGGACACAGTAGCAACCTCTGAAATTTTAATGAAAAGGTCAGCATGTCTTTTTTTTTTTTTTAATGCTACTTTTCAGGGAGTCCAGTTGAGGCCCGGAACCACAGTTTCAAAATAAATCAGACAGCAGATGACAAGTAACAGCAGTTAGCATAATGGCTATGTTGCTGGACTCCCATGTAGTCGACTGTGGTCCGAGTCCCGGATCTGATGGCTTAAACTCATGTTGGGCGTGTGCGTGCGTGCCCAAGATCCTGAGAGGAGAATGGAGGAGAAGGGATTGAGGTGTGGCCACCCCCCTGGTGAGAATCTCACTTTCTGTCTCTCTGTCTCTCTCTGTCTTTCTGGCAAGCGCACGTGCCCTGTAGCAAAAACCTCTCCAAAGAAGAGAAAAGGGGGCCAGCAGGTGGCATAGTGATTAAGGCACTGAATCACACATGGCCAACTTTTTGGTTCAAGTTGGGACCCAGCGGCTTGAAAAACATCCTGGGCTCATTTGTGTGCATGCCCAAAACCCCAAGACAATGAAGGAGAAGGGACTGTGGCATGGCATCCCCTCTGAGGAGTGACTTCTCACTTTCTCTCTCTCTCTGTCTCTCTCCAACAAGCACATAACCTATGGCAAAAATCTTCAAAATAAAATTAAAAGTGATAACAACATGGGTGACATATAACTTTTTACAAGTCTTTATCCTTGGCAGCACCAGGTGGCGTGGTGGTTAAGGCACTGGACTCCCACATGGCTGACCATGGCTCAAGTTCAGACCTGGTGGCTTGCCTTCTCACTCGCTTTCTCTCTTACTCTGTCTCTGGTGGTCAAACTGAATAATAAATAAATTAAATAAATAATTATTAAAATAGTTCTTTAAGGAAAAAAAGTCTTTATTCTATTTTTTAAATGTATTGCATTTTAAATTTGGTTTAGTTCTTTATTTTTAATTTGACTACTAGAGTCGGAGAAGAGAGAGGGAAAGTGAGAAAGCAAGCTGCCAGGTCCGGGACTTGAACCACAGTCAACCATGTGGGAGTCCAGCATCTTAACCACCATGCCACCTACCAGTCCCAAGTCTTTATCCTTTAGGGATACTTACTGAAATTGTATTTGTGAGTGGAATGGCATATCTGGGAACTACGTTCATTACTCCAGTTTACTGGCCAGACAACAGTAGGGGCAGCATGCCACTTGAACACGCCAGGTGCACGTGTGCATGCCTGCGATCCAAGCTAGCAAAGACTAGCGATAGATCACAGTATGCATAAAGACCCTGTTAAAAGTGCTAGTCTCTCAGTCTCTCTCTCTCATGAAAAACACAACGTAAAAAATTACTCCGATTTAAAAATTTTTTTTTAGGTTTCTGCCATCAGGTGCGTACGCCCACCAGACAGAGAGAGGGAATGTAGGAATCTCTCCTCAGGGGGGATGGCCATGCAACAATCCCTTCTCTATTCTGCTCTTGGGCTTTTAGGCACAAATACACATAGCCTGGTGCCCTTTACAATTGAACTGCGGTTGGCCGTGTGGGAGTTCAGAGCCTTGAACACTGAAACATCTACTGGCCCCAAATTACTCAATGTTTTAAAGGAAATGGATAGTAAATTAATTAATTAATTTATTAATTTTTTATTTATTTATTTATTTATTTATTTATTTTGGAGAGGTTTTCACTATAGGGCACGTATGCTTGCCTGACAGAGAGGCAGAGAGACAGAAAGTGAGAAATCACCCCCAGGGGAGATGACCACACCACAATCCCTTCTCCTCCATTCTCCTCTCAGGATCTTGGGCACGCATGCACACGCACCCGGAATGAGTTTAAGTCACTGGGTCCGGGACTCAAACTATGGTCGACTACATGGGAGTCCAGCGACATAGCCATCATGCTAACTGTTGGTCCCGTAGATAGTAAAATTTAACAAAATTTTGGTAACTGTTAAAACTGGGTGATGGAGGGGCCAGCACGTGGCATGGTGGTTAAGGGCACTGGACTCCCACATGGCTGACTATGGTTCGAGTCCCAGATTCAGTGGCTTATTTTCTCACTTCCTCTCTCTCTCCTTCTCTCTTACTCTGTCCCTCTCTGATCACATTAAAGAAAGAAAGAAAGTAAGTAAGTTAGTTAAATAAAATAATTCTTGGGGCTAGCAGGTGACATGGTAGTTAAAGGAGCTGGACTCCCACATGGCCAACCGAGGTTCAAATCCTGGACTTGGTGGCTTGCTTTCTCTACTTTCCCCTTCTCTATCTGCTCAAACTAGAAAATAATAATAATAGTTAAATAAAACAATTCTTTTTTTTTTTTTTGGAGAGGCCTTTTGCTATAGGGCGCGTGCACTCGCCAGACAGAGAGACACAGAGACAGAAAGTGAGAAATCACCCCCCAGGGGGGATGGCCACACCGCAATCCCTTCTCCTCCATTCTCCTCTCGGGATCTTGGGCACGCACGCACACACGCCTGGCGTGAGTTTAAGCCGCCAGGTCCGGGACGCGAACCGCGGTCGACTATGTGGGAGTCCAGCGACATAGCCATTACGCTAACTGCTGGTCCCTGATAAAACAATTCTTTTAAAAAGAAAATGAGTGATAGAAACATGGGGGTTTATTATACTATTCTCTCTACTTTTGCATCTGTTTGAAATTTTTCATACTAAAAAGTAATATAAGCTTAAATATACTAAAATTTTTTTTCTTACAAGGAAACACAGGGACTCTTGGGGACAGGTTACTACTGCTGTCCTCTAGTGGCCATCCTCTAAATAACTTGCCTTCAGCCACGCAGTCTCTGCCCTCAGTTCTAACAGGGGCAATCTAACAACTCACTTTCTAAGTGAATAACCCAGCCCACCTCCGGAAAGAGCTGTCCTTTCAGAAAGGCAGACAAGGGCCCAGCAGGTGGCGTAGTGGGTAGGGCACTGGACTCCCTCATGGTTGACCACGGTTTGAGTCCTGGACCTGATGGCTTTCTCGCTTTCCCTTTGTCTCTCTGGGTCTCAATGGTCAAGTTAAAAAATAAATAATAAATAAAATTAAATAAATAATTATATATGAAAAGAAAAGAAAGGCAGATAAGTTCGTTCCACTCCAAATGTTAATAACTTGTTCATTCTACCAGTGATCAACCTTTCCTTGTGCCAAAATGTACATCTAACGGAGAGGAGAAAACGGTAGCACTTGTCCAAAATAAGAATGGCCGTGCATTCTTCCCACACCGACTCACCGTGCTGAGACGAGGAAGAGGACTTCTCCAGCATGGATTTGTAGAGGTTGCGGAAGGACCAGCTGAGATCCTGAAAGTTGATCTCTGAGTAGGAGAACTTGAAGTCATGGTTGGTGTTATAGAGGGGTGGGGGCCCCTCAGCACTCTCTCGGCCTGCAGCCCCTGATGCCACGGCTCCGCCATCCACAGGTGCTGTGCCCTGAAAAACAGTGAGAAAGCCCTGATCCACGTCCCAGCCGGGAACCACGACGACTGGGGGCATGGCCACCAGGCTCTCCTGCCAGCCCTCTTAATCCTCCCCTAGCTCTTCAAGGACCTGCCACTATGCTCCCCTTCTTTTACCATTGGTTCTGGCCTTGAATCTAGCTTCTTCTTCCTAGTCTGCACTGCTTTAAATTCCCTTTTCTTGTGACCTATCCATACCCTTCTTATAACTTTTCTGACTATGGGATAAAGTATCCTCCCGACATGTTTGTGTTGAGATTTAGCCATGACAGCCTTCAGAGGGTGAACACTGAACCACATTCTGGTGTTGCAAGGTGAGGCCTGTGAGACACTAGGATTAAGGTCACCGTGGTGGGTCCCCTAGGATGATTTCTGGGGTTTAAAAAGAGAGGCAGGAGACCAGACCAGACACAGCCGTTCTGTCCTGCTAGCACCCTCATGAGGTGGAGCCTCGGGACTCTGCAAGATCCCACCAGATGTGGCCTCCAAGCATGAGCTGAATAAACCTCTATTTTTATAATTCACTCAGTTTGGGGGTATTTCCTGTTATAAGCAACAAAATGATCTAAAAACAGTCCTCTTTCTTTTCTTAGCTCCACCTTGTTTTCTGATCTTTGTCAAAGTTTAGTTGCCTCTCTCCCCCCTTCCCCTCTCTCCCCCCCTTCCCCTCTCTTCTCCCCTTCCCCTTTCTCCCCCTCCTCCCTTCTTTCTCTCTCCTCTCTCTCTCACTTTCCTCTTCTTTATGAATGTAGCTGCCTTATATGTCACAGAAACTCGAGACATGGTTCCAAGCAGGCACTATCAAAGTCCACCCAGCCGTCCACCGCGTGCCCCTGCGGCCTCTGCTCCTCACCTGGCTATAGCTGGCAATCGACGTGGGGCTCTGAAGTGACATTGGAGGATTGCCCTCGGGAGGCAGCGAGGCTTCTCCGCTCCCCGGAACGCCTCCCCGTGGGCTCTTGCTTGCCTCCTGCTCTGGTGAGTCTTGGGACAGCTGAAGGGTGTGAAAGCAGAGGAAGCTATAAGCAGGGGCAAAACGCCCTCCCAAGGCAGGGTCCCCTCGGCTGACTTTGCGCCTTTGCTAGGAAGGATGGAATGCCCTGGGGCGGGGAGGTGGGGGCAGTGCCTTGGGGATGACACCTCCCTGCGAGGCAGGAACTTACATCATCATCTGGAGGGTGTCTTCTCTTTCGGGAAATGTCCGGGCACGTGTCAATTGTCCAGTAAGAGCCCTGGAAGGAGAACCCATCCCCAGTGAGGATAAAATCGGTATATACAGGGGATCCCGCCTTTGGAAACACAGACCTCTGGAACATCCTTTACATAGCCTAACAGCCACGGCAGCTACTGTAGCAGTAGGAACATGACACCTGGAGATGCTGAAGCCACCTGGGGAGGTTCTGGGTTCGCATCCTCAGGTCTCCCTGTACTTGCCAGAGGCACACTCAGCTGTGATCTGAACTCCCTGAAACTGGGTTGAATCACAGCATGAAGACCCTGTTGGAGGTGGCTGTCTCCCTCTCCCTCATTTAGAATAAATAAATAAACTTTAAAAAAAAACAGGGTGCTCAGTCCCACAGTTAAAATGTACATGTATGGGATCTGGCAGGTAGCATGGTGGTTAAGGTGCTGGACTCTCACATGGCCAACCGTGGTTCAAGTCCCAGATCTGGCAGCTTGCTTTATTGCTTTCTCTCTCTCTGGTCAAATGAAGATATTAGGCTGACAGGAAAATCATGAAGTATTTTTCTTTTGTTTGTTCAGAGAGCTTTTTTGCTATAGGGCACGTGTGCTCGCCGGAGAGACAGAGAGACAGAAAGCGAGAAATCACCCCCCCAGGAGGGATGGCCACGCTGCAATCCCTTCTCCTCCATTCTCCACTTGGGATTTTGGGCATGCACGCACAAGCACCCGTCATGAGCTTTAAGCTGCCAAGTTCAGGACTCGAATCACAGTCAACAATGTGGGAGTCCAGCAATGTAACCATTACGCGCTCTGCTGACCCCTAATCATGATGTATTTTTCTGTTTTTCTATGCAAAAATGCATCATGACTTTCCCAACAATCCAATAATAATAATAAAACAAATATATATGAAATATATATGTATATATATACTATATATATATGTACATACCCACACACATATGTATGAACAGTCATTTAAAAATATGTGGCTGGTGGGGCCAGCAGTTGGTGTGGAGGTTAAGGCAGCTGGATCCCGTATGGCTGACTGTGTAGTTAGAATCCCGAACCTGGTGGCTTGAGAAACACATTGGCACATGACCATGGGTGTCAAAAAATCCCAAGAGGAGAACGAAGGAGAAGAGATTGCAGTGTGGCCATTCCCCCCAAGGAAGGTGATTCCTCACTTCCCCTTCTCTCTTTCTCTTGTTCTTTCTCTCCAGGAAACACATGTGCCCTATAGCAAAACTAAAGAAAATTAGGGTACCAGCAGATGGCATAATGGTGAGGTCAAGGTCACTGGACTCCCACAGAGTCAACTGTGATTCAAGTCCAGGACCCGGTAGCTTAAAACTCACAGAGGGTGCGAGTGCATGCGTCCCCAAGATCCTGAGAGGAGAACAGAGGAGAAAGGTTTGTGGGGTGGCCATCTCCCCAGAGGGGCTGGGGGTGACTTCTCATTTTCTGTCTCTCTGTCTCTCTGTCCAACACATGCGCCCTATAGCAAAAATCTTTCTTAAAAAAAATAAAGAAAATTAAAAATAAAACAATAAAGTGTGCCTAGACATTCACACCAAATCCTGAAGGTTCTGGGTATTATCGAAGAGGCAATTTGTCCTAAAAGCACGCCGAGCGGGCCGAGTGTACTGGAGGTCCTCCTGGGGCCCCAACCCAGATCACAATTGTTCTTTAGGGCAGAACAATAGCATCTAGTTCTACGAGCTGGGGAGGGGCATCCAGATACAGCCCTTCCCATCTTTTTGACCTGAGGCAAAACTCTCTTGGACTTCAGCATCCAGATCTGGCAAATGGAAATGACCCATTTCTTTTCCTTTATGAAGATAAAACCCAGGGATTTTTGTACAGAAAAGTTCCTACCAAGGTTACTAAGTCTACCTGTTACATTTAGAAAAATCAGTGTCACACAAAAAGAAAGGGGGCATCGAAGTCGACCCTATCATAAATACTTCTATTTTTAAAAAAGAGAGAGATTTCACAATCTCCTTAGTCATCCACTCTAGTGGGGGCCCACAAGCCTGACAACCAAGCTCTTCCTTGAGAAAAAATAAAGATGCTTCTCTAATGAACATGATTTCCTCGTCAGGGTAATTAAAACAGCCACAAGACTCCAGGCTGTCAACGACTTCACTGTCCTTCCTGTTCCTCCCCTTTAATGCTTACAGCAGTATCTCACCTTCCCAGGGTCATCCCGAGGTCTGGGCACCTTCCGGAAACACTTGTTGAGAGAAAGGTTGTGCCGAATTGAATTCTGGGGAAGTGGAGACGTGAGTTAGATATGAGCATGTGCAAAGTCAAACATATTCCAATAGGATACAGAGGAACACAAAAGAACACAATACATAAAAATGTTCAAGGCTCAGGGTCGGTTTAGCATCTCCTAACTCTGGGGATGGAGGGAATTAGTGTCAGAGAGCAAAGCAACGCCATAAGAAGAAAATGCAGAAATGAAGCTAATGAGAGGTATGGCTATAGATCTGACTACCGGATATTTCTGAAAAGCCGATGATAGTCTTCAACCTTTCCACTCAACTGACAACAGGTACATAAATACTTCAAAATTCCATCTGTCCATCCTCAAACTACCCTATCTATAGCAAAAGAACAATTTTTAAACAGCTTACATAAATTGTAACAAATACGAAAGCGTGAAACAAAGGCACAGGTCACCTTCGTTTCCTAAATAACCTCTAGAATTGTCCCATCGGGAGGAAAGAAACACCGTGGGCTGGGTGAGGCTAGAGAGCCTGGTAGCTAGTACAGACATCAACAAGTGGGAACTGAGTGCTTTCAGCAGGGTCCAGCCCATCACATGGTTTGTATGCAAACTGGTGATGTACAGAGTGAAAAAACGACATGAGTTCTCCATTCCTACTCAACAACTGGCCAAGGAGTCAACACTCCAAAAGACTGAGAATACCGGCCTTCCCTCTTTGCTCACAAGTGGAGCCTCTTCTTCCTTCATCTCCAGCCAAACAATTTAACTTTTCATTACTTGCCTGGTGGACCAGCTATCAGCAAAGGATCCAATTAGATTATTTTTTTCTTTATGTAATTTTTAGAGAGTTTTGTTTGTTTGTTATAGAGCATGTGTTATAGAGCATGTCAAGGACTCCAACTGCAGTGAATTATGTGGAAGTCCAGCGGCATAACCATTATGCCACCTGTTGGTCGCATGCTATATAATTTTTCAAAAGATTGTGACTATGGGCAATGAAGCTATGGACATCTGTGGGGATTCCCACCTCCAGGTAGGAGGGAGTCAGGCCTGGCCTTGCATGGTGACTTGGTTATAGCAGCGTGGCAACAACTATTTGTGAAATGAATGAATATCCTTTCTGAGGAATCAGAAGATAAGAGGGTGTGATGAATAGCATCCTACCATCCCTGTACCTATACTCAGTGGCTTGGCATCAGTGTTATTTCCCTGATAGAGCTTCTGAAAGTTCTTCCACTCTATGGCCCTATGGCCTGGTGGTTAAGGGTGTCAGATCCCACATGGCTGACCAAACGGTTCAAATCCAGCCCTGACCGCTTGAAAAACACACCAGATACATGTGTTTACCAAATCCCAACAGGGTGGAGAAGTGGAGGAGAAAGCATTGTGGAGAGACCATGCTCCATAGTGGGACGCTTTATCCTTCTCGCTGGCAAAGACATGTGCCGAGGCAATTAAAAAATAAAAGAAAGAAAGTTGTTCAACTTCAAAAAGAGTAAGAGGTAGGAAATACGACAGTTTAAGTTTATGCATCTCTAAAACATCTCCGTCAGAGTGCACTGTCCCAGGTTATAGGAAGAAACAAAAGCAGAGAAAAAGGTTGTTGATAGCTAAGAGTGAGCCCATGGTATAGAAACAGTCCCACCTTCCAGCCAATGCCAGCATTCTTGTAGTACGGGAAGTTGTCACAGATCCAGCGGTAGATCTCACTGAGGGTCATCTTCTTGGCTGGAGAGGAGTTGATGGCGTAGGTGATGAGGGTGGCGTAGCTGTACCGTGGTTTGCCATCCTGGTGAACTGCAGCCTCGTCTTTGCTAAGGGTGGCGTTAGGATCAGTGGGGGAGCCTGGTGCACACTTGCGGCTGCTCCCGGGAGGCCCGGCCTGGGAGGCACTCCCAAGCTTCTCGATAGTAGCTCGGAGGGTGAGCTGGGGGAGCCAGTCTATGGAGGTGAGGCTGCTCTCTAGATCAGAAGCCATGGTACTTCTGGGTTCTGGAAGAAGAGGAGAAAGGGGAAAAGAGAACAGAAGAGCTGAGTAGGGCCTTCGGCTACTGGGGGCAAGTACAGTACTACTCGAATCTTAGTGTTGAAGAGAAGTAGACTTCCCCCTGCTCTAATCCCCGCAGCAGCCTCCTCTCCTGGACTGGCCCTCCCCAGTGTTCCCAGAACCTCCAAGTAGCTAGATCACCAATCACCACCAGATGATGGACTGGAACACAGCCCAGAGGCTCTCCCTTCATGCTGGACCGAGAGACCACCACTCACCACACTGAGCTAGTCCCTCAACGCTCCTCATGTGCAGCCCTACAACGTAATATTTTAAAACTATATAGGAAGAACACACACACCCTCAGCAGGTAAAGTTAGCCCAAGTCCAGTCCCCAGTTACTAATGGCCCTTGTTATATATATACACAACATCCAGAGAGACAGCACAGCTGAACGTGGAAAGGAGACAAACACACCAAGGAAGGCGCACACGCCAACACTTTGAAAGATATTTCCCAGTAGCTAGGCTCGCCCTTTTCATCCCACACGTGTGCACGCGAGGTATACTGGCCTATTAGACGTATCTCAAGCATAAATTATACGTGACAATCAGCAAAGGACAGACACCAGACAGACACATACACTCGCATACACGGAGATGGGGTTAGAGAGAGGCCCTACCTTACCCACAGGGCAGAGTCACATGCAGAGGCAACAGATCCCGAGCACGCAGCTGCCCTCACACCTTTAAAGCTACCCCTTGCACGCTCCCGCCCACAGACACCAACCCCAGGAAGAAATCGTCACAAGGACCTCCCACCTCCCCGCCCCGCTGGGCTTCACCGTGCTGGGGAGACACCCAGCTGTGCGCGCACCGGTAACAATCAGATAGCCAGGCTAAAAATAGCCACTCTGGGCTAAGAGCTGGCTCCCCTTCTCCGCCCTCCTCCTCCCTCCTTCCTTGCCAGCCAGGCACGCACGCTCGCTGCACCTCCATGCAAACTCCTGGCGCTGCCAGACCGCCCACGCCTCGTGTTTGCCCGCCCGCTGCCACCCACACCGCCTGGGCGCCCTTGCGGCAGAGAGGTATAGCTAGAGGGGAGGTGGGGGGGCGAGCTCTGTATTGCAGGGTCTGGAAAGGCCGGCAGGGGCCACAAGGGCGGCCAGTGACAGACACCAACCCCAGGAAGAAATCGTCACAAGGACCTCCCACCTCCCCGCCCCGCTGGGCTTCACCGTGCTGGGGAGACACCCAGCTGTGCGCGCACCGGTAACAATCAGATAGCCAGGCTAAAAATAGCCACTCTGGGCTAAGAGCTGGCTCCCCTTCTCCGCCCTCCTCCTCCCTCCTTCCTTGCCAGCCAGGCACGCACGCTCGCTGCACCTCCATGCAAACTCCTGGCGCTGCCAGACCGCCCACGCCTCGTGTTTGCCCGCCCGCTGCCACCCACACCGCCTGGGCGCCCTTGCGGCAGAGAGGTATAGCTAGAGGGGAGGTGGGGGGGCGAGCTCTGTATTGCAGGGTCTGGAAAGGCTGGCAGGAGCCACTAGGTAGCCATTTGGCACACGCTTGGCGCTGATGCCGGCAACCCCCTGAGCACTTGCTGCCTAACAGGTTTGTGCCTGCTCAGGCCAGATCCCAGCAGGGCACTTCCTCAGTCCCGCCAGGGCCTTTCTCTCAAGGACTGAGGGCTAGCAGGCTCCAGAGTGCAGAACCCCAGGCAGAAGTGGGTTCTGTCCATGCTCTGGAAATCCGCAGCCTGTGTGTGCAAGTGCACGCAGACACACGCTGTGCGAGCCCAGAGAGGCCCCACGTCCCCCTCTCCTGACCCCCGATACTGGTTCAGGCGCCCAGCTTGCTTCGCTGTCCGCAGGAGTCAATCTTCTGCCCCTGGAAGTCCCCCATTCTCCGAAGGGTCAGCATTCTCACTGGCTCCCTCTCCCCAGAGGTCCCACCCAGCAGTGTGCATGCACCCACATGTCCCCAGCCCTGCGCTCCCAACAGCAACACACCCACTCCACAAGGCTGCGAGGAACACCTTAGAGTCTCAGGGGCCTGGGCTACAAGGTCCCCAGTAGCAACCCAAGAATGGTCTGACAGGAGAGAAAAGAAAAGGGCCCATTATAAATAGCATCCCTGGCTCCTCTCCCCCACCGCCCCCTTTCATCCCACCACCACCACCTTGCCCTGAACCATGGAAACTTGGAAGCCAAAGGGGACACTTAATCATTCCAGGAAGCCTCAGACCTGCTAACACTTTATATTAAGTCTAAACACCCCAGCCCCGGGGCTACCGCAGGTCATTGTAGCAGCACCACAGTCCTGGAGCCGGGTTCTCCCAGCAGAGCAGGAACATGGCACCTGGCAAGGTGTCAGTGACCAGGGCTCTCCCCCAGAGAGGGTCTGTAAGGTGTCCCCTCTCCCCCATGAGTTCTGCTGAGGAGCCCTGTAACAGGTCAAGAGCACAGAAGCCTCAGTTGCTGTTTCACCCGACTTTCCCAGCTGGACAGGGCTGCTGGACTGGAGTGCAGTGTGTAAAGGCCTTCCAGAACCCACTTGGCAGGGGCAGTCGCTGTGAATTCCTGGAGGAAGCACTTCCAGCCCTTTGTGGGTTGTTCTATGCTCTTCCCTCACTCCAGCACCAGGTTAGGAGACAGAGGTTAAATTTAACTTTTCTCCAGCACCCTCCCAGTCAGCCCTCGGCACTCAAAATACACTCCAGGCCCGCCAGCGACACCCAGCTGGGGCGCCTGTGCCTTCTGCTCCCAGAACCATTCTCCTTGAGCCCCCTGCTTCCTCAGCCCCTCTCTTTCCCCATTCTGGAAGGGCAGCCCAGGGAGCATTCCCAACCCTGAGGATGACTCACCAAATGTCTCTAACCATCCCTTGCGACCTGATGCCTCGGTTTCCCCCTTTGGTTAAAGGGATGAGGTCATAAACTCTGCCAGGGCTTCCTCCCTGGAGGGAAGTGAACGAAGCTCACTGAGCTCGTGGCCACACATCCACGCTCCCCACGATGGCAGAGGCTAGTGTTCAGGCTATTATTAGAAGGCAAACAAGAGGTACTTACACGCTCGCCCGCCACCCAGCTCCCCAGACCTCTCTCTCCAGGTGGGCCTCGTGCCACTGGGCTTGGGCAGAACGTGAGTCAGGCCACATTCTTGTCTGCACCCTGGAAGACTGAAAGGAAATACCCACCAACTGGGAGAGGCAGCCAAAGGGCAGGCTTCATCACATCCCGGGACTAAGGCACCGGGAGGAAGGCAGAGAAGAGGAGAGAGACCTGCTGTGGGAGTAAAAGACCAGTCCCGGATGAGACACGTCACAGCCAAAATAACGGGGGAAATGCTCCCCATTTTATCAGAGGCCAGTGATGTTGTCTGTTCAAAACCGAAGTCAGGTATTAAAGAGCGATGACTTCCTGCCCTGGATGTAATGCCCAAACTAATAGGCTGGCGGAACAAGCAGTTAGCTTAACGGCTATGTCGCTGGACTCTCATGTAGTTGACCGCGGTTTGAGTCCTGGACCCAGCGGCTTAAACTCACGCCGGGCATGTGTGCGTGCGTGCCCAAGATCCTGAGAGAATGGAGAAGGGATTGCGACTGTGGCCATCCTCCCTGGGGGGTGATTTCTCGCTTTCTATCTCTCTGTCTCTGTCTCTCTGGTGAGTGCATGTGCCCTATAGCAAAAACCTCTCCAGAAAAAAACTAATAGTCTGGTGACTAAGCGTACCACCTGAAGTCAAGCTGCCAAGGTTTCAATCCCAGCTTCACAGTCTACTGGCTGTGCAACCTCAGGCAAGTTGCTTAACCTCTCTGTACGTTAGTGTCTTCTGTAGAGATGATAACTGTACCAACAAAGAGTTGTTGTGAGGATTGCAAGTAAAAGTTTTGGAGATTTTTTGCTATGGGGTGCACACGCTTGCCAAAGAGACACAGAGAGACAGCAAGTGAGAAAGCATCCCCCAGAGGGATGGCCACACAGCAATCCCTTCTCCCCCATTCTCCTCTTAGGAGGAAACTCATGCACCTGGCCTGAATTTCAAGTCGACAGGTCTGGGACTGAACCGTGAGGGACCACGTGGAAGTCGACCGCCTTAGCCATACGCCACCTGCTGGCCCCAATATTTTAAAGCACTTAATAAGTGGTATATAACTACTATTATTTTTAAATGCAGAAAAAGGATAATAGAAATTAAAAATTAGACAACGGACGGCCATGGAAGTAAGACCGGAAGCAGCAAGCCTGCAATGGTCTATGTGGCAAAGCATGCAGAGTCTGCAATGGTCTATGTGGGAAAGCATGCAGAGTCTGCAATGGTCTATGTGGCAAAGCATGCAGAGTCTGCAATGGTTTTCAGGCTGAGAATCTCACTTTTCCTCTGGACATCCTGCCACTCCATTACTGATCAATGCTAGCAGGGATGAAGGAGTAGGGGAATATCTTTCAGGGGGAACTAGGTGTAGTCATAAGACACGTTCTGGAAAATAAATTCTCTAAATAATATGTTAAAATAATTATTTATTTTATTTTATTTATTACTATTATTTTTTTATTTGACCAGAGAGACAGAGATAGAGAAAGAGGGGTAGTGAGAAAGCAAGCCACCTAGGCTCAGGACTCAAACCAGGGTCAGCCATGTGGGAGTTCAGCACCTTATCCACCACGTCACCTGCCAGCCCCTAAATAAAATGTAATCTACCCAAAAGCCACCTGATTCTAACTGATCCCACAGAGGTGAGGTGAGTTAGGGAAGCTTGTCCAAGCACAGCCAGGTAAACCGTATATGCCTGGAAGTGGAGGTGTGTGATACGGAGCGCCCGGAGCCATTCGAGAAGCTGCACTCCAGCACCTGATGGAGGACTTTATGAGGCAGGCTGCCCTTACGTCAGAGTCACCTCTTCCAAAAGGCGGAAGAGAGGGTTCCGGAGTTAGAAGTCACGGCTCTTCGCCCTTTTGAGACTACAGGTATCGGAAATGAAGCTCTCTTCTTAGTCCTGGAAGAAGAGGCCCACCCTGTGACGGGGATGCCCTGGTTCTTGGGATAACTGTCACACAGCCAGTCATGAGGACGTCCACCGGCCAGGCGAGGAAAGCCTTCCCTCCCAGCTGGGCATCAGCACCACCACCTTCTCCAGATCTTTGGAGAAGGGCACCCTGTTCCTAGAACCTTCCAGAAACACACAATTCTAGGTCACTGGCTAGTCTGAAAAGCATTTATGTACTCATCTCCACACAGAGACCACACCTGAAATAAGAAACATATACGGGGTTTGGCAGGTGGTAAGGTGGCTAAGGCGCTGAACTCTCACATAACTGACCGCAGTTCAAGTCCTGGAACTGGCAGCTTGCTTTCTTACTTTCTCTCTCTCCTTGTCTCTTTCCGATCAAAAAAAATTTTTAAAGGGACCAGCAAACGTCATAGTGATTATGTCACTGGACTCCCATATGGCCGAAGGCGGTTCAAGTTCTGAACCACTTGAAACTCATGCCAGGCGCATGTGTGTGTGTGCTCAAAAATCCCTAGAGGAGAATGGAGGAGAAGGGATTGCTGCATGGCCATCCCCTCTGTGGGGTGATTTCTCGCTTTCTGTCACTCCGTCCCTCCAGTGACTGCACATACTCTATAGCAAAAACTCTCTCTCTAAAAATAGAATAATAAATAAAATTAAATAAATAATTCTTTAAAAAGATATATGCTAGGGCCTGCAGGTGGCCTGGTGGGTGGGGCACTGGACTCCCGCATGGCTGACTACAGTTCAAGTCCTGGATCTGGTGGCTTACTTTCTCACTTCCTCTCTCGCTCATCAAAGTAGAGAATAATAATAACAAATAAAATTAAACAAAAAAAAATTTTTTAAAAGAAACACATGCCCATCATTGTATAGCCCAGCCATAGAAACCCGTGGACTATGACCCTGTTTCATCCACCATCACTACAGGGAGCTTCCAGAGCCAAGTGGGAGTTCTCAGGGCCATAGGCAGGCACCCATGGCCAGGCAGGGAGTAGAGGAAACGCTGGGCTTGGCCTGCCTGTGGGTACAACGGCCCTTACAGAAGGTAAGATTCCCTCCCGTGGCAAGGCAGGAGAGCGGGTACACCGAGCCAGTGACGTCAGGTTAAAAGGCAGAGCTCTACCACAAACACAGCCCAAGCTCAGACGCCAGGATTTCCTGGTGCCTTGTCCCTGATTTTTCTGAAGATTCTCAACGTTCATGATTCTCTATCATATAAAAACCAAACCAAGGGACCAGCAGGTGGCATAATGGTTACATCAATGGACTCCTACGTAGTTGACCATGGTTCGAATCCCGGACCTGGTGGCTTGAAACACACCCGGTGCGTGGGCATGCATGCCCAAAATCCCAAGAGGAGAATGGAAGAGAAGGGATCATGAAGTGGCAATCTCCCCTGGGGGGTGATGTCTCACTTTATGTCTCTCTCTGGCTCTTCAGCAAGCACACATGCCCTATAGGAACAATCTCTCTAAAAAAAAAAAAAAAAAAAACCACCAAAAAAGTTGCAGGGACCCAGAACTGGACAAGAACTAGGAAAGAGAGGAGGAGATCCCTAGGTGATTTTCCAGGAAGAAACTCTAATGCGTTCCCCAGAATGGAAGCCTGGAATGAAGCTTAGCAGCAACCATCCCCTGAGTGACTGTCAGGGAAGGGCTGGGGGTGCAGGGGACTGGGGCAGTGGTACAGGCCAGTGTTGAGGAAGAACTTCAGCCCAGGCACTGGCACTCCCCATACCCTTTCTTCTCCCTCGGGGTATGTGAAATTCCTCCGTTCCCTTTGGGCTTTATGGGGAAAAGCATACATCCAGCCAGGAATGGGACAGTCATGGGAGGAGGCCTCTTGCTATGGAAGGCAGGGTGAGTGGGGACAGACTACCTTTCTTCTCAAGGGAGCGTTAATTGTGGTGGTTTGGAGAGAGCACCTCCGGTGGACATAAGCTCACCTACACATCCCTAGACAAGGCTGGGACGCGAGATGCCATCATGACTTCAGGGAGGGCCCCCCTCTCTGGGTGAAAACACCCAGGGATGGGAATCTTGTTATTACACAGGACGCGTGGAGGTCTGAAGACGAAGCCCTTTTCTAAAACCCCTTGTTCAGCTTGGAAACATCCACTTCCCTGCAAGTGAATTCCATTCCTTTAGTCCCCAATCGCGATGAAACCCATTCCTCAGAGCCTCTACAGCAAGATGTGAGTTCAAATCCTGAAGCATCCTCAAAATACATGTCCCTCAGAATCCTCTGAGTTACCCTCTACTCTCCCCAGTAATGAATGCCAAGGTCCACCAGCTCAGCCCCCCACACCACCTGTGTCTGAGACAGAGAGAAGACGAAAAAGAAGCACTAACCTGTCTCCAAGGCTGCCCCTGAGGAGCCGAACCAGCTGGTAGTAGAGTTTGGGGTTGGAGGGATTCCCCTCTTCAGATGCAGATGACGGGTCGCATCCTCAGTGGCTCTTCCTGTGCTTGGGGGAGCCTCCCAAGCTGGGGAGGGGAACTGGGTCCCCTGAGATGGAGGAGCCAAGGGAGGGGGAGGTGGGGGAGGAGAAGGAGGTCCTACCTGGGGAAGGTGGCACACCCCCCACACCCTGCCAGTTACCCTGGGGAGGAGGGGAGGAGCCTCTCCCAACCAGGAGTTGTCTCCTCCCCCTTGGGGGAGTCCCCCTCCCCCCCAAGCTGGATCTTTCTGGGGTGGAGGGCTCTTTCTGTCTGCTGGAGATCTGAGCGGAGGGGCTCTGCCCCGTTCCACTGTCTAGGTGCACGGAAGTTGAGGGGGGAGGTCACTCCTCTCCAGAAAGGCAGAAAACGACGACTCCTCTTCTTCCCCGGGGCGTGCTGTGCCTCCGAACGTCCGTCGGGGCTGCTCTCCCCGAGCGCCGAGCCGGTGGGATGGGTGCCTACTCCACAGGCATGGCCCCCTTTCTCTCTGCCTCCAAAGTCTTGAACTGTTCAGAGTGTGCGTTTGGGGGGTTGGCAGCACGCCGGGCGGTCTCACTTTGCTTCCTTTGGGCAGGATCACCCGTTTCTACTCCTGGGGGTCTCCTCCCGGGCCGGCGTGGGGCTTTTCCTCGCCACTAGGACGGAGAGATGCGGGTGCCTACTCCACAGGCATGGCCCCCTTTCTCTCTGCCTCCAAAGTCTTGAACTGTTCAGAGTGTGCGTTTGGGGGGTTGGCAGCACGCCGGGCGGTCTCACTTTGCTTCCTTTGGGCAGGATCACCCGTTTCTACTCCTGGGGGTCTCCTCCCGGGCCGGCGTGGGGCTTTTCCTCGCCACTAGGACGGAGAGATGCGTCTCGTCCAGGGGTCTCTTCTGTCCCTCACCTGGGTGGCTAGGGTCTTCTCTCCAACCGAGGGGAGGTTGCTGGCGCCCCCGCTCCAGCCTCCGTTCCTGGGGTACCCCCGAGGGTGGGGTTTTT